TGCGCAATGTGTACAGGCGCAGTCACGTAGGAAAGCCATTTTACCAGTGTAGTAGTAAAATCTTATTAACGTTCACTGTTTTTCATAAAATTTTGTAACTTTATGAACGAAATTAGTGAAATTGTGGGCAAAACAGTGAGAAGCAAAGCAAATGTTAAAACTGAGTTGCTTAGCAGACGAATCTCTAACAGCCGTTTTTGGAACCAATCAACGATTGATGAGGAATCACCGTATTACATTGAAATAGATCATTTAATACATTCATCGATGGCGCCACAGCCTGTCGGTTTTTCAGTTGCGCAATCTTTTTGCACAGACGCTAGGACTTCTTAAACGGGGGATCGGGCAGTCGCAAGGCCGCTACCTATACACAGGACAGCACAAACAGAATAAACGCACACAGATACATATTTTGAGTGGGATTCGAACCCACGATCCAAATGTTCAAGCGGGCTAAGACGGTTCATACCTTAGACCGCCTGGTCACCATATTCGGCTGAAATAGAACATTTTTTTCCTTGGCACTACAGCCCCAGTGGGCCTAGGCCTACCTCCATGAACTTCACTTCGGTTTTTCTAGATCTTACACATTCGGTAGCACTCCTTGGGCAGGTGATCAGCTCGTCGCAAGGCCTCTACCTGTACACAAACACAGAAAAACGCACACACACAAACTAACCATCCATGCTCTGAGTGGAATTCGAACCCACGATCCCGATTTCCAAGCGAGCGAAGACAGTACATGCCTTAGACCGCTCGGCTACCGTGACCGGCGAAATAGAAAATTGCCAACTCTAAATCCTTACCTACTCATTATAGACTGCATGATATTAGTGACTCCCTCGTGACTCCCTCCACCTTATCGTGGTGAGGGGGTTTGAGTATGCCAAGGACCCTGAGAGCTATACCAGCGGTAGCGTAGCTACTGGCAGGGCCTCCCTTGCTGGACAGGTCAAAGGGTAGGCATCAGACGAAGAGAGACACCAAAAACTGATGCCGGAAGCAGCGTCATCAGTAGCGACTTGAAGCACAGAGCAAATGATGCTCGAGATGGTTCAAGTTCGTATAGCAGCAGGCGTGACCAGAGTGGTTTGAACGGCTGCTGTACTGCGATGTGGAAAGCAAATGGAAAAACTACCACATTATCACTTTTCCTGGATAGTCTCTTTCCAAAAACAGAGATACCATATATGCGAGATGTTTCCTCTGGAGGCAAAACAATCCGGAGGTAAACTACTCCCCCAATCGGATCTCCGGGGGGGAGTGTTTCTAGAGGAAATGTCATGCAGGCGTTACAACAAGAAAAAGTGCGAAGATCAGAAGAAACAGCATGGATACAAGATTGGAACATGGAATGTCAGGACCTTGAATCAAGCAGGAAAATTGGAGAATTTGAAAACGGAAATGCAGAAGAATGAAGTGTCTGTGCTAGGTGTCAGCGAAGTGCGGTGGAAAGGACAAGGTGAAATAAGAAGCGGTGATTATACAGTGTATTATTCCGGAGGTGAACGGGCTGAAAGAGGTGTGGCAATAGTGGTGCATAAAAGTGTAGTGAGGAGTGTTGTTAAGAAGATTGCTTGTAATGACAGAATTATTGCTCTGAAGTTAAAGGCGGAACCGGTAGATATACTGATTATACAAGTGTACATGCCAACATCAGAGTATGAAGATGATGAAGTGGAAAAAGTGTATGACACAATTGAAGAAATTCTTCAGGAAGATGGAAGAGGAGACACAAACAGCATCATATTGGGAGACTGGAACAGCATTGTTGGAGATGAACCATATCAGAATATTGTTGGATCACATGGACTAGGAAGACGGAATCACAGAGGTCAAATGCTTATTGACTTTTGTGAACGAAATGGATTGATTGTTACCAACACTTGGTTCAAGAAGCCAAAGAGAAGAATTTACACATGGAAGGCACCTGGGGATTGGAAGAGGCATCAGCTGGACTACATCCTTGTGAAACATCGATTCAGAAACAGTGTGAAGGATGTGAAGACGCTTCCTGGGGCAGACATTGACTCTGACCACAACTTGCTGGTTGCCAAGTTCCGAACCAGGTTGAAGAAAATTATAGGATTTCGAAAGCGCAGACCCAGATGGGATTTGGAGAAGTTATATGCTCAAAGACAAAGCGTGCAAGAGACTCTAGAAGAGAAACTCGGTGCAATTGAAGGTGAAAGCGGAAATGCTGAAGCGCAGTGGAACGATATAAAAGAATGCATGTTAGATACTATCAGTGATTTGGTAGGTAAAGTTGAGAAGATAGCAAGAAAACCATGGGTTACACAGGAGATGATGAGTAAAATGGAGGAGCGAAGGAAATGGAAGAATGTCAACAATGAAGAAGGCAGGAGGAAATACAGGAGACTGAGGAATGAATTGAAAAGAGCCACGGACAGGGCCAAAAAGGAATATCTTGAGAAGATATGTAATGAGATTATGGAATTTCAAAGAACAGGCCGTTATGATTTGATGTACATGAAGACAAAAGAACTAGGATGGAAAGAGAATCATGGGATTCAAAATGTTGGCATCGAAGACTCCCAGGGGAATAGAATAGTAGATCAGAGGCAAGTGCTGAAAATTTGGGAAAATTATATTTCAGAACTATATGATCGACCTAATCGGCCAGAAACCTTAGAAGTTGAACCGGAAGAAGAAGTAGATACAGACGAGAAAGGACCATATATTTTACAAAGTGAGGTGGAAAAAGCTATCAAGGAAATGAGGAAGGGAAAGGCTACAGGAGATGATGATGTACCTGGAGATGTGCTCAAGTTACTGGGAGAAGGTGGTTTGAAAACACTGACAAAACTAATGAACACCATATATGAAAGTGGAGAGTGGCCCAAGGACTTTACAGAAGTTACAATGATTGCCTTAAAGAAAAAGACAAAAGCTACAAAATGCAGCGACCATCGCACAATAAGTCTTATTGCACATACAGCAAAGATAATAGCAAAGATACTTAAAAGAAGAATTGAAAGGAAAATAGAGGATGTACTTGGAGAAGATCAGTTTGGATTTAGAAGAGGAAAAGGAACCAGGGATGCAATTGGGATGATGAGAATTATAGCGGAACGAACTTTGGAGATAGATGAAGAACTGTGTGTTTGCTTCATAGACTGGCAGAAGGCATTTGACCGGGTAAACTGGACCAAATTAATGCAGATCCTGAAAGAAACAGGTATCGATTGGCATGAAAGAAGATTGATTAGCAAATTGTACATGGATCAGAAAGTTAGAGTACGACTGGACAGGGGGGAGACAGGAAGTGTGCAGATTGGAAGAGGAGTTCGACAAGGATGCTGTTTATCACCAATTCTGTTCAACTTGTACAGCGAATGCCTTACCAAGGAAGCTCTGGATGGGCTCGGTGACTTCAAAGTAGGAGGGCAAATTATTCAAACTGTGAAATATGCAGATGACCTTGTGTTAATGGCTAAGGAAGAAACTGTGCTACAGGGCATGATTGATAGACTAATTGAAATTGGAAGGTGCTATGGCATGGAAATGAATGTGGAGAAAACAAAAGTAATGAAAATTTCGAGACAACCAACCCCAGTCACAATAAAGATAGACCAAAAACAAGTGGAGAATGTGAAATGTTTTAAATATTTGGGTAGCTTGTTAACAGATGATGGAAGGTGTACTTGTGAAATTAAATCCAGGATTGCCATGGCAAAAGCTGCATTTAGCAAGAAGAAGAATCTTTTTACCAGCAAATTGGACTTAAATTTGAGGAAGAAACTAGTGAAATGCTACATTTGGAGCATAGCTCTGTATGGGGCTGAAACATGGACACTTAGGGCAGTAGATCAGAAACATCTGGAAAGTTTCGAAATGTGGTGTTGGAGAAGAATGGAGAAGATCAGTTGGACCGATTATGTGAGAAATGAAGAAGTGTTAATTAGAGTCAGTGAGCAGAGGAATATCCTACATGAAATAAGAAAACGGAAGGCTAATTGGATTGGTCATGTTTTACGCAGAAACTGCCTTCTAAAAGAAGCTATCGAAGGAAAGATAGATGGGCGGATAGAAGTGACAAGAAGACGAGGAAGAAGACGTAAGAAGATGCTGGATGACCTTGGGGACAGAAGAGGATACTGTCATTTGAAGGAGAAAGCTCTAGATCGCATGAAGTGGAGGATGATGATGATGATATTAGTGACATATTTGACTGTGTTTAAACTCTTAAGCTGAAAAACCGTCCATAAAATGATATAATCATGTTCCAGTCACTGTCTCTATGTTTAACTAATTAAGCACTACGCCATGAAGGCGTATGTGGGAGTGGATATATAGATCCATATTTTTTTTACCTTGGCACTAGTTGGAGTTGAGTGGTTAGCTTCATGCCCCTGTCACTTTTACCCCGGGGAAAGACTCCCCCCCCTCCCAATACCATTGGGTTTGAAGTTGGGTGAACCCCAGAGCAGGGCTAGACTACGTGGAGAAGAGAAAATTCTTGATCCTATCGGAACTCGAGCTCCGACCCTTCGGTTGTTCAGCCCGTAGCCAGTCGCTATTTCGACTTCGCTATCCCGGCTCCACTAGATGTTTTGAACGAAAATACTGAAGTCACGATAGATTTTATCATTGTAACGGTGGGAGTATTTGTCCATTCCTAACGTGTAGAGAATGTTAGCAACTTATGTTATTGCACAACATTTCTGGGCGTAAAACGAATTTGTTTGTTAACGATAATCATGGTTCAAATTTTTAGTTTGTGGAGCCATTCATACAAGTCAATCAGTAACATGAAATGAAGTTAACAGATCTGCTGTAATTGCCTTTCGTCACGAAACAGAAACAATCACGCACGCGAAAAGTGATTAGCCCATAAAAGCTTTTTACGTCAACGAACGAATGATGAGGTATGGTAAATACTGTAGCATGTAGACTTGTTGGTAAGTAATGACTATGAAACAATGACAGCTGCGACGTAATGGGGGAGGATCAGCATATCTCTCTTAGTCTGGACTTACCCTTTGATTTTTCTGGCATGGGTGACCCTACCGGTAGTTAAACTACCGCCGGCATAGCTCTCCAGATCACAGAGTCACGCAAGCTTCGATAGAGCTGTTCCCTGCACTAACAGAAAATAGGGTATAAAAACAAAGCACGTCACACACCCTCTTCGAGAGTTAAGACAAAATATTAAAATGCTCCACATATATGAAGCTTAACACCAAGGCACACACACAAGAAACAAACTAACTCCGTGGCCTGTAGTCCGAAAGCGAACTATACCGACCGAGCGACCGCCGTCTTGTCGGCGAAGTTAGTGCCAACTTTAGCGGAGAGAGGGTGTCGCTTGGTCTGCGCAACGGATTATCACGGCCGTTAATCTCGGTTTTATATACTGGAGCCTCTATTTCCTTGAAATAGCTCCTCAGTTATCATCACGAGGCTGAGTGGACCCGTTCCAGACCCACTATATCTTAGAAAATCTGATAGCGCCGGGAATCGAACCCGGACCTCTGGATCTGTAGCCAGGAAATCTGACCACTAGACCACAGAGGAGGTTCCAGAGCACACACAGATGGTACTTAAATAAAAAAACAGGGCAATGGATAATGTCCAAAAGCATAAAATTAATATTTTATTTGTTTTTTATTGGTGTGGAAGTAGAGTTTTCACTTCAAGTTAAGAATACGAATTGTGTTTAGGAACAGGGTGTTCGGGAGAGTGTTCGGATCAAGAAGGAGGCTATAACTGTAGGGTGAAGGAAATTGAAGCGTGAGAAGGCTCGTATGTTAATCAGCACATCCTGTTGAACAAATGAAACAGGATGTGACGTTAGATGCATGTAGCACACACGAGAGAAACTATAATTACGCAATAAATTTGATTCCGATAACCTGGAGGGAAGAAATCGCTTTTCAATATAATATTGAAATTAAATAACTGATATTACGTAGTGTCGGCTGGATTCAGCTGGCTGATGAAGAAGTGCAGTAAACTGATTTTGTGAAGACGGTAATTATTCTTCGGAGAATTCCTTGACAAGCTGAGCGATGGTTAGCTTCTTAGGAGTGAAGTGGCTCCATAGTTGCCACGTGATGAACTGAAGCGCAGTCTGCAGGACTTTCAGGGTAGTTCGACCTTCTATTTTAAAATACTTTGTTAACGTTTACTTTATTGTAACCATTTCTGTACTTTGCCCACATTCAGTTTTACATGATTTGAAGAAATATTTAAATGAATTTTAGACTTCAGAGAGCTAACAAAACGAACACTGGATTTGACGATCGAGAGATCAATATTTCTGTTTGCTAATCAAGAGATCCTGATTTCGGGAAAATATGTACCCGGGACAGATTATCTTAGCTCATATATCTCATGGCGTGTCCCTTCTGAACAATTGGTGGAATCATGTGTTATAATAGGCCACGATTAGTTTTTACCTCTTGCTTTCAGATTCATACATAATCCTACAATTAGACGGTGAGTAACCTGTACCGTTATCGATGAGGCCCGGGTTCGATCCCGGGTCTGGTCATGTGGGATTTTTAGGGAACAAAGTGACGCTGCAGCAGGTTTTCTCCGAGTACTTCGGTTTCACCTGCTAATCTTCATTCCACCAATTCCTTCACAATCACCCTCACCTATCACCTGGGGCTGGTACAGTAGGCCAGGAGTGGCCGCAGTACAAGGGACTTAGCCCCACCCCACTAGCAATAAAAGAAACCTGTACCATTAAGGCCCTGCCATAGCTCAGGCTGTTAGTCTTCGGGTTCCACCGAGGCGATCCTGGTTTTATTTTAGGTCAGGTCATGTGGTATTTGTTCTGTACAAAGTAGCAGTGGGACAGGTTCCCTCCGTCTGCTTGTGTTTCCACTGCCAAATCACATTCCACCGACCGCTCCACACTCATCATCATCTAATATCCGGGGCTGGTACAATAGGCCAATTAGTGGCCGACGTACCAAGTGGACTCCGTCTCACCCCAACTCAAGATATTAAAAAAGGATGCTATTGGAGAAGCTCCATTACAGAACTCGGTAATTGAGAACCCACACCTGTACGAGTAAGTAACTGGATGCGGGCTGGATGACCGGAGATTTAGTCTGGTAAGAGAATGGATTATTTTCTTCACAGTTACGTAAGATTTTATTCCGAGACCCACTCAGTCTCTTATCAAATGGGTACCCGCTCACCTTAACCGCATCTCTTCCATTTAAATGGCTAAATATGCGTGGAGCCTTACATCGACTCCCCATACGTCCTCTTGACGTGTTCATACACACCACATAAATACGTCTTTTACTGGCTAGAGAGGAAATTTTCCTCCGTGCTTACTGGCACTATTATATCGTCACTCGTAGTAGATAATGAAGCGCAATTATCAGTCCCTCATTCGCACAGCCGCGCGTTCTCGAAGTCTCCCTCTCTCTCGCAGTCACGAGGGACAGCAGAAGTCTTGATGACTTCATTAGCTGCCTAAGAGCAACGTTGAACTTTAAGAGATAATGAGAAGAACAGTTTATTCAAGACTGCCTCTAATAAAAAGCAGGAGGAGCCGTGAAATTCAGTTTTGCACCTGAGCGGAGATGTTAATGTGGCACTCTGAGTGTGCAAATGGCTAAGAAGGAATGTCTCGCAAGTACTTTGATGGCGTTTCAAATAAATCGCGTGGAAGGAGGAAGAGCTTAAGGCTCAGGGGTGGATTAAGGCATAAACGAACTAGACCATGGCCTGAGGAGACGTTTAGGGGACCCACGCAGAATGTCTAGAGGCTGGAGGGCCCCTAAGACTTTTTAGGTGCAACGCAAAACAGAGTGTTCCCGCTCCCAGTCTGCATTAGAGCTAATAAATAATGAGGCTTGTAGACACGTTGCTGGGTAACGAACAGCTAGGCAACGGCCGTTACTAGGTAATGGCCAGTAAACAGCAACATAGGAATTGTTTTCTTTTTGCGCGGCCCGCGTCAATGGCTGCTCACGCAACAAAGGTACAGCAACAGAGGAACGGTGTTTTCTGTGCCCTTCGTGACGAGATGTTATTAACAAGGACAAGTCTGTAATGGAGTTCAGTTGGACAATGAGTTCAGTTGGTTGAGTGGAGTGAGTTGTTTGGTGAGTTAACGAGTTAGTGAGAAGACTGATGCGGTTAAGTCGTTGTGCGCTATTGCTGTGAGAAGCTGGTCGCTGAGGCACGAAGACAGTTCAGGAACCCAGAGGAAGGGGAACGTCCGCCGTTGGAGACGCCATTAGCAGACAACGACTGGTGAAGACACAGCAGACTGAGAAGACTTAGTGCGTGCTGTACTGAACTGCAGTGTGTGTGAATTAGCGATAACGCTATAGTTCCTTGTAGTTACGTTCTGCAAGTGTTCAGTAAATACAGTTATAAATCCAAACTCCGTCACCTTCCATAAATTCATGTAAATAATGCACAATCACAACCTGTTACATTCTTCACTGCCATTGGGCCCCACATTGAACATTGGCCTAGGAACCCGCAAACACTTAAACCGACACTGGTCACAATATAATTCGTCACTGTGTATCATATCTCCATTGGAACATTTTTCTTGAAAATCACATAATCGCTCAGCTGGGAAAAAATATTCCCTTTCTTTATGGAACGAGAAAATTCAGTGCCGTGTTCACTAGACCCAAACCATGGCCAGATGAACCCAGCCCACAACCTGACAGTCTGTCTCCTTGAGATTTTAATATTATCTCACTGCCAAGATGGTTGGCATAGCGGTAACGCTATAGACTTCATATTAAATAGGTAATCGGTTCGAATCTCGGCCGGTGCACCGGCTGTCTCGTTTGAGTTTTTAATCTGATTTCAAATCTTTGTCATTAGAGGCCAGCATTTTCTCACAACCAAATAATCCTGCTATAACTGTAAGGTAAGCTCGGAATTTTGAGGTGGGAGTGACACAAGCAACAGCGATCCTAAAGTAATATTTGTTAACGTCAGTTTTTGTGTAATATAATATGACAATATGGCTATGATGCGAACATTTTCTTAGGCTATCACATTCACGGCTCTAACTACTGAATCACTGGAACTGACTAGCTGATTGGCCAACTAAATGGAGCAAAGCATTACGAAGCTAATAGTCGGTGAGATAATGGAAGACTTCCCAAGATGTTATAGATCCCAAGAGCCCACTACTGGCTCACACTCTGAGACGGATGAGCCCAGTATACTTCTTCATATCATAAAATCTTTATGATATATTTTAGAATTAACCGTCTGTCTACGTCTAAGTCTTGGAAGTGATCTCTTTCCTCTAGGTTTTCCTACGAAAACAATATTGGAGATAGGGGCCAGGTTAACTCAGTCGGTATAACAACTGACTACGGGCTGGTCTGCCGAAGGGTCGGAGTTCGAGTCCCGGTGGGAGCAAGATTTTTCTTCTCTCCACGTCGTCCAGATCCGTTGTACGTATTTCTGTCCAATGTGTATTGGGGTTCTTTTCCATTGGATAAAGTGACCAGGGCGTGAAGCTGATCACTCACCTCCAACCTAGTGCCGAGGTTAATGCGTTGATCTATACATCCGCTCCCCGATACGTCTTCATGGCGTAGTACTTGATTATTTAAGTACACGAACATATTTCCATTTTTAAATTTGCAAACTGTGAAGACCCTCGTTGTGTAGTTCTGTCAAGCATAGAGCTGATTCTTGTTTCTTCACCCAGATATTTGTTAATACTTTGTTCTCCGTACACCCTGTGTTTATACTGTGACCCCTTCCGGGATGCGTCTTCAAACACTTCCTCACGCAGTTACTAATACTAGCCGGTGATTAAGGACTGCTTCATTTATTTATTTTTTTTTTTCATCTTTCCGTGGTTAAGGTTCAGAATTAAGAACACAGATGTTTCTTTGAACGTTAAATAATGTAATTACGGAAACAATTGAAAAGCATTATTGTATTTTTTACTTAAATTTGTTAAAAATAAATATCTGATCATATCCTATTAGGATATGCTTATCCTGCATATAGGGCTCAGTGACGCTGATTTTTGTCATTGATGGGGCCCTATTTCCAAATTTACAAATTTAGTAACTATCATTTTTCCCTCCTTGCGATTATTTTGTGGTTAATAATATTCCTGTCTGCTAGCTCATTTTGAAGCGCCTGTGATCTGTTGACACATCTCTCTGTAGCGGAGATAAAGAATTCCCACCACATTTGTGAGCGGGGCGAAGGATTCATTTGATGCGTGGTACGATATCCCAGTTTGCTGTTTCCTTCTCTCAGAATATAGGGTATTTGTATATAGTGCCTCCCGAATGTATTCTCAATCGTCCGCTTTATGTTTTCATTAATGATCTTTATGTATTGCATATATTGATGGTGGCTATATTATAGTTTGAAAAGCAAGGCAGTTGTGCATTTTTCAGCAGTGACTCAGAATTTTTTTGGTTCAGCGTTGAGCCGTGTCCCTCCCCCATGTGGGTCGAGAACCACGCTCTGCTACCACTTTGAGCCATGTCCCTCGACCCTGTGGTGAAGAACCCCGTTCTTCTACCCGCTTTGACCCGTGAATCCCTACTCTATATGGGTAAGGGACAGGCTCACAAGAAACGACTTGCTTGTAGCGTGATGCACTATGCCTCCATATGATTGTGTAAGGGATCTCGGGGGAGGAAAACCACAGTCGGTACGATGGGCCAGGCTGGACGGATCCGCTAGGCAGAAGCTGGTATGGAACATACGGCACAAGTATACATATACACAACTGGCGTTCTCAAACATATAAATAAATATATATTGATAACATATGTATACAAATGGACTCCGCCTGAAGGGCAGTGACTGGTCAGAACATGTGATAAATGATTGATACAGAACTACGCTGTGCCTAGCCGCACAGAACTCAAGTCAGGCACGCCTCATGGCGTCTCTCTACTTCTCCAGTATAAGCATGTACTTAGGTAAGCCTTGAGGGCACAAGGAAATATAAACAGCTTCCATACACGGCTGAACACGCCTGAAGGGCGATCTGATGTTTATCACAACCTTAGACAAAACTAAATTACCCAACGCCTCACGGCGTCAGTACTCAAACCAAAATGCGCCTCACGGCGTATACTACCTTAGTAAGTCACTTACTTGAATATACTTCTTGAATACACAAACTCAAGGACTCACCTCACGACTGATCCACCCTTGACAATGTCGTGAGGGCACTCTTCCCCCTTCGATCAGTGCTGCGGGCCGAAACCAGATTTCCAGCACAGTCAATTCAACTATCCGAAACCAAATTTAGACGCAGCGATGTTTCCTTGCGAAGGTCAACGGGAAGAGAGGAAGATACATTCATTTGTACTACGCAGGAAACCTCTGTCTAAGTCCTGGAGGGGGGAGACAAGGTCAGCTGACCTGACGTCAGCCAAGGACGTTAGTCGGAAAGAAAGGGAGCGGCTCGCATCCTGGCGCTTCAGGGGGGGGGACTCCAAGTAACTTAACGAAGAAGAACCGTTGCACGGTTCAGCGTACTAAAATAATACTTTTCATTTAAACAATCTTTTTGACCGAACACTGACCATCTTCTTATCAGTAGTTTTAAGTGTTATGTTTATTAGCATATCCGTTGGCTGGATTATTTTTTATAACGGAATCATAATGGTGCTGCGTGACATTATGGTAACGCAGTGCCCAGTGGGACGTCCGTTCAATTGCAGACAGTACTAATATTGCCAATAGCTGAGTACAGCAATGATAGTCAATTTGTCAACTTTCATCATTTTCTTGAAACATGATACTTTAGAGTAGCTATTTCACTGTACAGTACCATGTAGGCCTACACTGTACGCTGTACAGACAGGCAACATGTCATGTCGTCGTCACACAAGTTGCAAACTGCACTGATGTTTGTGTCCAGGGTATCCGTGACAAATAATTACAGGATTACGGATTTAACCGAGCTGTTTTATTGGATAAGTACGCCAGGCGGAACTACAGACAGTTATCACACACGATAAATATAACACTTCGTAACTGCGAACAATGATCACACTCTAATGTTCCTTGTAACTACGCCACGCGAAGGCTTCTGTCGGTTCTCCTCTTGCTGATCACTGATCTGATCTCCGCTCTGGTCTTCTTCAATATCGACGTCTTCCTGTCGAATCTCCACGAACAGTCCTCACTGTTCCCTATATAGGCTCGGCACGGACCACCCACAGAGAATACACCTCGGCTCAGCAAGGGATATCATGTATTATTATCAGACGTATCCACCGATACATTGCCTAGGACGCCCTGTTTTTGCGTATTCGTTGCTGTGATATGTGTTTACCGGTCTGTTACCTAGCACCGGACGCCCTTCTATTGTTGGATGCTCGTTGGTTGGAACTTGTTTATGTATTCGTCTCCTAGAAACGGCCCAATTGTACGGTCATAGTACTATACTAGGTAAACTGTACCAATTTGTCACTTGAACAATAAATACCGGTATTACGAGCAGTATGTAATGTCTCTTTCTTATCAAGTTTGGAATTGTACAGTGAAATAGCGCTATCTCGGAAACCGTTCGGAATAGGACACATGTACACATATACAATTTTTCTTAGAATTGCCAGTACTATGACCTCCCGGAATATTGACCTTTTTTTTATTGCTAGTGGGGTGGGACTAAGTTCCTTGTACTGCGGCCACTTCTGGCCTATTGTCCCCAGCCCCAGATGATAGGTGAGGGTGATTGTGGAACAATTGGTGGAATGAAGATTGGCAGGGGAAACCGAAGTACTCGGAGGAAACCTGCCCCAGCGCCACTTTGTCCACCACAAATCCCATTTGACCAGACCCAGGATCGAACCCGGGCCGTCGCGGTGAGAAGCCAGCGACTAACCGCTTGAGCTACGGCGCGGCCCTAATGTTGACCTTTCCTGTGAGGACAACCTGTATACTAACTCTTAGCAAGCAGCCCGACAACAGAAGAATATACGTGGAAGGGAGATGTTTTTTCCCTTGGCACTACAGCCCCAATGGGCCTAGGCCTACCTCCATGAACTTCTCCGTTCACAGAAGGGAGATTAAGTTTCCGTAATAAGTGCTCTGTTATTAGTCATAAGAATAAATTGCTTATGAAATGGAAGAGAAAATAACAGGTTCCAAAAAGGTCTCATTAATCACTAAGTGGTTGCCCATCAAGGAACTAGGCCGGCTCGGCCCACCTGCATGAAGAGTCTGAATATAATTATAGGTTTCTTATTCAGTAACTAAGTGAAATTCCTGTGTGTTACATATATCGTAATATTTGTCCGCTGTCCGTCATGTACGCCTTTCGGGATGTTACACCTGAAGCAGCCTGTGGATCAACTGCTCCCGAAACCCATGTAATGATGAAGGTAAGAAGTCAGCAGTGTTAGTCGTAGAGCCTGCGCGGATGCATCTCCCGATGTGAGCTGAGTAGCTATGCAGTGAGCATTTGGTTTCTGCTCGAAGCTGATCATACGGACTTCAGTTTCAGACTTTTGCATGTGCGTTGCGGGTGTGTGCTGCGTAATTCCAAACAGTACCTTTCTGTTCCTTGGACGCCAAGTACCGCAACAATTCTTGAGACAGAAATCTGCAAGAACCTGGAATAACGTTCTCTGAGCGTTTTCGCTTGCGCTTTACTGTGGATTGTGTAGCAGTAAAAAGAAAAAAACTATCCCTGTAACAGGCCGCGAAGGCCCATAAGGTTGAGACGTCGAGGCTCCCACATTTTCTCTAAACAGTCGACTCACAGATGGCGGCGAGGTTGTTAGTCTTAAGCTCTGGCCGCATCTTTACCCGCCCCCCCCCCCGNGGTACACATTCTTGCTAGAGGCTGTGTCGACCCCAGGCTGGTAATATCAGGTCAATTCAGAAATCCAGTGACCTCATCGGGAATCAAACCCATGACCTTCCCGCTTGTAGCGTATTAACTATGTTACAGCGTGCTCTGAATTTTATACTAGCAACAGTCTTATTTACAAAATTCGTTTATGTGTAAAGAACTCTATTGTTAAGAACCGTTACCGGGAAACGACTAGTGAAAGCAGACTGTGAAGGCTTAGCATGTGCTGTAGTGATTTGTGAAGTGTGGAGATTAGCGATATAGTTATAACTACTTTTAGTTACGATCTGTGAGTGGTCAGTAAATCCGATCAACAATCCAAACCCCGTTTATAGTCACTCATACACATGACAATAACATTAATGTATTATTGAGGATCGTCTGCATTTCCCTGGGTTCTGAATGCCACATTTTTAGAGAGAAATAGAAGAGAAAGTTGGGTTGGGAGGTTAGTGAGTGAGACAACTCATGAACAATAGCTCACAGTCTGACGTCAGCGAACCCGTCGACAGTGCAACCAGCAGATCTTCGCCCGCACTGAGCAGACGTACCCCCACCTCCCTAGTGAATGACTGGATGAGTCACACAGCCTCTGTTCTCGCAACCAAATCTCGCCGGTCTGTCCCAGATCGAACAGAACAGTGGGAAACAATGGCTCTGAACATCACAACACAACACGCTTGGCGGGACCAGTAGCCCCAACTCACCTGACGCAATCTGTGATGCTACTCAACCCAAGCGCACTCCTGTTTCGACAGCCAGCGCACACGAACACGCACCAATGCATGCTGAAGCCCCCGGGGCAGAGAAATTGGGAAATGTACACACGACCGTCAAACTGGGGATTTCGTTGTGTTCGGGATTTCAGCCTACGCTTCCCATTTCAATATCTGCTTCAGGCGATATTAGTCACTCGTGCTCCTGCAGTTCATGCAGCACGCATATCGGAGCGCTCTACCAATTAATTCATAACCAACCCCCTCAGTCTTCTTTATTTCGTGGTGCGGAGTGAGGCCAAAGATTGGCCTGATGATGGATGAAGAATGTGAAGGAGTCTGTGGAATGAAAATTGGCAGGGAAAACCGAAGTACTCGGAGAGAACACGCCATAGGCCATTTTGTCTACCACAAATCCCACATGACCTGAGCTAGGATAGAACCCGGGCCTCCGGGGTTGGAAGTCGGCGACTAACCGTCTGAGCTATGCTCGACAAAGCCCCTCGATCTTCAGTGTGTAAGTCCTTCACTTATATCGACATGCTATTCTCAAGACTTTTCTGCTGTATGTTTCTATGTTTCCTGCTTCTTACTGCAAACATCATAAAGAATATCCAAGTATATTATGAAATTCTCTTTGTAATCTTGCCAAAATGTAAGGCAGCTACAGCTTTTACAGTGACGTATAAGTAGTGAGGTAGAGTTTGTAGAGAGATTGCAATTTCTCTTTAATATTTCGTTGTATTACGCAGTTATATCTTTTGATTTGCATAATTTGGTTATAGTTATTTAAAATTTTAGCTAGTGATACCAGGAGAGCAAGAAGCAACACTTCCGACTTACACCCTGAAGATGGTCGCTTTGAATATCTGTCAGGACACCGACTATATTAACTGAAACTCTTGTGGTATTTCTGATCCCCACTAAGAAAATTCTGGTGTAGTACCTCAAATAAGATCATGACCAGTTCCTTCTACATGCTTTCGAATTCACTGTTCGCTAACCACCCTACCATTCCAAGCTGTATAGCTGGACTGCAGATAGAGTCACTAAATAAACTAAATAAACTAAATAAATGTGTTCCTGCAGAAGAAATGTTGTCTCTTCCAGTATTACCATACAGGTAATGATTCTGGTACCATGAAGGTTTGTTTCTGGAGATGAGGCATTTATGTTCTATTTGTGCATTTCATACAGGAGCAGTTGTCACTGGGCCAGAGTCAAGAGAGTTTTGTTGGCTCCAAGCCTCTTGGGGCTCACGACCAGACTTTTTTTTTTTCAACTGAACCCTTGCGGTTAAAATCGTTTTGTAACGTTCTCTTTGAAGAGAGGATAGATTTGTCTCTTATGAATATACCTGGACATTCGTTAAATGTACGTATCGCACATATAGCTTGTTATTGAAAATTCCTGCTTTTGCACTGTATACAAATAAATCCTCTGTCAGTACAGGCTTTGCAAAGCAGACCATATCTTACGTATCTTATGTTACAACGGCAGCCTAGTTACTTGAACGGTCATAAGGTTACCACTGCCAAGTTTAAGCCTCTTATTATTTTTGTCAGTGGTATAACCGATCTGCCGACCCCAGCTCGATTTAATTTAGTAGCATGTTTTGATCAAGGTAAATTAACATGTTCGGTTAGGTTTACTTGTAACCTACAGCAAATGGACGAGAGGTACATAGGCTATTTCTTCCCCCCAAGAAGGAGTTTTAGTCCAAATTCTCGAATGAAAAAGACAAAAGAAAAACGACTG